TTCAAATTCATCACTGACAAACCGAATGTTCTGTAAAAATCAAAACATGGCTGTTTACTCAATTGTAAGTATTTAAATGCAACAATACTTCATCTGGAAGGAGTTAACATTAACCTGGTGGGAATGTTCTGCCTATTCCAGTGCTCTATGTGATTAGATATGACTACTTTAAACAACTAAATTAACCCATTGGAAAATATAATATTATTATTGCCAGGACATAAATTAAAGATAGATAGAAGATGACTATCCAACTCATAAATGTGTTATTCTAAATATGGATTCTGACTATAACATGTGCATTACATAATCTTGTTTTGGACGGAGCCAGATATGTTGTGTCCCCTGTTTCCAGTCTTTGTATTAAGCTAAGCTAACCAGCTACTGACTGTAACTTCCTATTTATCAAACAAATATGTGAGTAATATAAAAGCTCTCATCCCATTCTCAGCATACTTTAGTAATATCAAACTCATTTCATAGAGACCATGAAAACAATGACTGGAGGCTCCATCTTTTCTCAGCCTGCAGTATGCAGAAACATAATTTAACCAGAACAACATTAAATGCACAGATGCATTAATATATAAAAATAATTTAAAATGGAGATGTTTTTGACCAAACTAATCCAACACCTGTGCCATGTGAGGGCTGTTGCTTATCTGATGCAATCCACTCCTGTCTTCTGCTCGCCTGCTGCAGAGCTGCAGTAAGGTTTCTGGTAAGAAAAAAAACAGGCCTATGTGCTCATCTAAAATGATCATTTCCACTGCCTATTTAGCAGAGAATTGCATGTGGGATGTGGAAAAAAATAGGTGCGACTCTGACTTTCCAGAAGAGTAGCACAGCTCACATGCAGGAGATGCGGCAGAGTGGCGGCTCTAACCTGATAGCATGGGCGCCTAAATGAAAAGAAAGACATTCCGTGATGAACACGCACTGCTCAGGCATCCAGTGAGGCCTGAGATAAGGGTGGTGCTCAGGACCTCAGGCTCTCTAAAATCCTGGTTCCAGCCCTGGTGGTATATAGATGTTTATACAACTGTCAGGTTGGTGAAACTTTACTCATCTTTAAATCCTTAAAAAGCTACTTTATCCTGCTGCTTTCAAAATCACTCTGTAAATATGTAAGCTCTGACCAGACACAAATATCTCTCTTTGAGTAAGATGGCTGTTTGATTAAAGTGATTTTATAATAGCATGTGCTCAGCAATGAAACAGTTTTCTGTTGACTTCGCTGGTTGTTGACTTCATCCGCCCTGAATGTGACAGTTATTGTCCAGTTTGCTCTCACAACACTGTGACTGGCTCATCAGATCCTGGAGCCTGAGGACGGAGAAGGGGTGTACGTGCCGGAGCTCTTGTCCCGGGCCCGGCCCAAGCTGGACGGACACACTTCCCCCGCGGTGGGAGGGACCACCGACTGTATATAAAGAGGAGGGACCAGGCGGAGTGAAAGTGCACACGTGGACACCTGAGACTGACGTGAAGTTCAGCCAATCGCAGCGCGGCCTGGTGACGCCAGCTCCCACCAGTCACCCAATGGGAGAGTTCACTGGTGCACTTAAAAAAAAGTGTGAGGAGTCGGAAAAATGAGAAAAGCGGAGGCAGCGGAGTGTGAGGCCTGGAGGAGACACACCACTGATGTTTGTTCCTCATTTCACTGAAGATCACTGCACATCTCACCCTGTTTCTCCCGGAGCATGATTTTCAATGAAGACAAGAACAGGATGCTGTGATTTTCCTGGTTGAATTTACTCACTGCAACTTTTACTCTCCATTAACAAACACTGGGTAAGACCCCCCGTTTTCTTTCTGCTATACAGGAATTCAAGGCTGCTGTTTGTTCAACTGAGGCTCTATGTGTTTTTGTTTCTTACACAACTCAAGTGTAAACGTGTTGCCTTAAAAGAACACTGAAGTGTTTGAACAGTAGTCTTTGATTTTAGAGTCTAGTGCACATGCAAAGGCTCAGTCAACCACAAATCTCATCTTTATGTTGATTCTGTCACCAGCAGGCTCAGATGACAGAGACTGTTGGTTAGTTTTTACTTTATAAGTATGCATAACTTTCCTGGCTTCTGTTAGTTCTTCCTGGGCAAAAAAGAAAAAAAGTTGTCATTGTACTCCTTGGAATAGATAGAAAGATAGAATAGAAAGATTTAGGTGAAAGGGATCTATTGGCAGAAATGTAATGTAGAATAATCCTCATGATGTTTTCACTAGTTCGTTTCATCTAAATTGGATGAACTGTAGTTTTCTTTACCCCAGAAAAGACCCTTTATATTCAAATACTTTATACTGTTCCTATTAAAACAGCTTAGGTCAGCTAATTAAACATATTCCTACACCATAGACCTAAATATAAAATGATTATTCAGAATCTAAAGATGATCTCATTATAAGTAGTGTATGTAGGTGTGTGAGAATAATATACAGATGATTATAGGTTTCAATCCTCTCACTTACTGCAGAGATGTTTCCATAAATGACCAAACTAAAATCACTGTTCACATAATTCACTTAAAGATGCTATGCCAGTTAGAAACTCAGGTAAACAGGTAAAAGTGCTTCATCGGCACTGCTACTTGAGTAAAGAGGTATTACTTGACAAGTTAAAGTATCTTCGAGGGATAGTTCACTGCAAAATGAAAATTGACTCAAACACTTCACTGGTGGGTGAAGTGTTTGAGTCCACAAACACTTCTGGAGTCTCAGAAGTAAATATGTAGCAGCTGAATCCGATACAATTGAAGTAAATGGTGACTGAGACTTCAGACGTAATAAAACAACAGAAAAAACCTAACATGCCTCCAAACTGCTTGTGTGGTGTCATCCAAGTGTTCACAAGCCCTGATATTCATATTCCACACAAGACCATCATTTACATCATGTTTTGATCCTTACGTCCTCTGATATCTTCCTACAAGGCACTTTCATGGACCCTCGGACACATCATCGTGTAGCTAAGTCCACTAGCTTAGCCACTTCTGGTGGACTTTAGGCTTAAAACTGTGTAAATGACCTTGTTTCGAGTAGTGTAGTGTAATAATGTAGTAACTTGCTGAAATACCTCACACGGAGAACTGTGTGAACTACTGAATCTGGAGACAAGACCACACAGATGTTGTCATTGATTTAATCAGTCCCACACTTGATGGTCATCTAACTGCACTCCAGTGACATAATGGAGCGATCACCATGGCGACTGAAGTGTTTTCTCCAATTTGGAGAGGATGCACGACGAGTTCAGTTCAACATCTGAAAAAATCTGCCTGCATCATGTGTTGTCCTTCAAAAGGTTCCCTTTGTTGCCGGGCAGAATGCTGTCCGTCATCTCCATGACAAAGGAAAGTACATCCAGGCACCTTATTGAAATTCTCTGCTCATTGATGTAAGCCTCGCTTTGCTCTCTCAGAGTTTACCAAGCGTTATTTACTGCAAAGTGGACTAAAGTTAAGCAGGTTTATGAGTACTCATCTCATATTTACACTTAAACCACAAGACAGAAACACAATGAATAGCAGAGGGAACATTAATCATCAATGATTACTCACTCATTTTCATCTCTTTAATTGGACATACATCTGTTCCCTGGACAGAATGGAGGAGTAAACAAATGATGACAGAATGGTCTGCAGCACACATCAATCATGTGCAGTTCTCACTGTTGAGGAAATGATGGCTAATCATTACAAAGGAGATCATGTGAGCAGTGTAACAACTGAGAAGGGAACAGCTCTGTCTTACAATGCACTGAGGTAGACAGGTTCACATGTTTAAAGGTAAAGGTGAAAGCCTCTTGACACTCTTAGCACTCTTTCCATGTCTAGACACACTTTACCAAGGTCGGCTGAAGGCCTGTTGCCAGCACACACACAGTCATTATGTCTAATTATGGTCTTCAATTAAATTGCCGGCACTCCTTCAAATCCCCCCTCCAGTTTCTTATTTCTTCCACTCGTACTCAGGCACACGGAAATACTGTAAACACCCACACTACTGGAAAAACACACAATAAAATATGTGTCCATCTGTACAGTGCATGGGTTAAAATGATCTTGTTGGTTTTAATCATAGACTATAAATAAAGATGGGTGATGCATCCCAGTTGTCATCCCACTTCAGAGAGGAGGAGACTGTTGTTTCGAGAAACTGTCCACCCTTTCTACCTCCAGACCATTGATGGTCAGTGGTGGGAGAGAATTTCTGTCTCTTTGAAAGTGGCCCACCAGCTCTTTAGTTTTGGAGACGTTCAGTTCCGAGTTGTGGAGAAAGCACCAGTCAATCAGAAAATTTGAACGGTCACAATGTGAAATGCAGTTGTTTGTGAACAGTGAATACAGGAGAGGTAATAGAACACATCCCTGGGGGGCACCAGTGTTTATGAACTGGATTTAGTCTGTTGTTTTTACTGCCTGTGTTCTATGCTAGAAAATCTGAGATCCAATTACATAAAAAGGGGTTGATCTTAACTTGACTTAACTTATCAAAAAGTTTTGTAGGTAAAATGGTATTGAAAGCGGAGCTGTAGTCCGCAGAGAACCCGTGTGTAGGTGGCAGGGGCAAGTGCTGCAGGATAGAATGGAGACAGAGTGACAGCATCCTCTACAGACCTATTCGCCCTGTATGCAAACTGGTGCGGCTCTGAGCTGACCACGTTGGATAGGTGTTTACGTACTAGGTGCTCAAAGATTTTCATTTTTACAGTTATTGTAATTGTTTTGTAGTTAATGGAACAGATCTGTAATCATCCAGGCAACTGACATTGGATCTCTTACATACAGGTATTATGACAGTGCTGGAACTTTGAATTTCTTAAGAGACCTGTTAAAGATATCAGTGAAGACTGTAGCCAGTTCATCTGCACAACATTTTAGCGTGGCAGAGGATACAAGGTCAGGGCCTGTTGCTTTCCAGCTCTTCTGTATACGCAGCAGGCTCCTCTCCTCATGCTCCTCTATGACAAAGGGGGGAGTTAGGGAGCTGGCCATTATTGGCTTTCTTATTTGGTTGTTATCAAAGTGACAGTAGGTCGCTGAGGCTGTTAGGCAGCTTGGCATCATCACTGAGACAGAGGTTTTATAATTCTTGATCTGTTTAAGGCCTTGCCATACAGTTCTGCTGTCATTAGTCTTGAGCTTGTTTTCCAATTTGCACTGGTAGTCAGCTTTAGCTTTCCTGACAGCTCTCTCGAAATCGTATTTGGCCGCTTTATACATTTACCTGTCTTCTCCCTTAAAGGCACCGTGCTTATTTTTCACCGACTTCAATGGAACACTCAGATTTTCACAGAAGTTAATGTAGGAAGTTACCACATCAGTATATTCATCCAGATCCTAACATTACTCTCTGAAAAGTTATCAAATGTCCCATTCATAACATGGAGAAGCGGGACTTGTGACCTTTATTGCAGCCTGCCAGGGGGTAAATTAGATTTCCAGCTTCACTTTTGGGGATCAGTCATGTTGTTCATCTTGACACAGTCTATAGCTTAGATACATTTACCTGTATTTATAGGAAACAGATTTGTGCTGAGTGAAAAGCTGTGGTTTTTGCTGTTGTGCAAGAAGAAAATAGCAGCAATGGCATCCACTTTATTACAACAATTATGGATTTGATCAATTATCAATACACAACCTATAGATCTGTTTCTTCCCACAATTCAGGAGCTGTGAGTCATGGGAAGCTTCAAGGGCCACGCTCTCCCTGGGAGCTTCTTCCTTGTTGCTGGGCTCTGGTGGACAGCAAAGTACTCGCTCTGGCACGCCACCCGCAGGAACAAGAACGTAGGTTCCACCCGATTTGCCAGCAGAGCCTCGCAGCGCCGCCTGGAGATCATTGAAAGCTCTGTCATAGTCTTCTTCTCTTTTTTTGGTAAGCAGGTCTCTGACTCCATATAAAAAACAAGTCTGTGGGTGAGAAGAACTTCATAAGGGCTTTTCAAGGTATCCAGTTATTTAGTAGAGATCAGAGAGTTTATTTTGCCATGTTCTGCAGGGATGCTGGCAGAGCAGTTTTTTGCAGGTGGACCAAAGCTCCAGTTGTACGACTTTGCAGAGAAACACTGGGAACATCTGATGAACTGGCAGCATGCAACCATGTACCTCTTCTTTGGCCTGGCTGGGATAGTGACTTTGATTATCCACACCACAGAGGCTTTCCCACTGACTCTGGACAGGTTAATGCTGGCCATCGCTTTCTTTAATGAAGGTAAAAACTATTCTTTATTTTTATGTTCTATTCATTTTCCTGAGCTGTGTTCTAAAATGCACCCCCACAGTTCCAGCACACCTGTTAAATGTGTTCATATAATCTCATTTAGAACTGGATGTAAACAATATTGTTTCATACTAATGATCACGTACTGCTTTGGTTGGTTTAGATTTGTATTGTACTACTACTGAAAAAATACTTTGGTGTATTTTATCCTGTACTTTTAGTTAGTTCTCTGCAAACCATCTTACTCGCACTCTCAGTTGCAACAAATCATATTAGTTTGCTGTCTCAGTATGTTTACACCACCTTACTACTCAGTTTGTCCATATTGACTTTCCTTTGCTGTTGCAGGATTTCTTTTTTTCTACCACCTCCATGGGAGAAGTATGCTGGATGTCCATGTTCATCAGCTGCTGCTCTATGCCATCTTTGGAGAGGCTCTTGTTGCTTTCCTGGAGGTCTTCCACCGAGGCAACATCATTCTGGAGCTGGTGCGGTGCAGCCTCACTGTCCTGCAGGGCACCTGGTTCTGGCAGGTATATGTTAGTGTGTGCATGTATCATTAGTGAGTCCTCCTTAAACAGTTCTACAATATACTGTCACTTCTTATTGTTTGTGTGCGGAGATTTTTATAAACTGCAGAGTGAAGTTTTATTTAACTGGTGTTCATTTTTTCATACATTACAGGTCAGCTATTTCAGAAGTCTGTAATCTTCAGACCCAAGTAGTTCCCAACTTTTCAAAAATAAAATCCCTGTAATTCAGCTCGGTATATAGCATTGCAGCAACAAAATAAACATTGTGCTTTTCCTTTGATGATATATTGCAAAAGTGATTCAATGACCCTTACTGTGATGTCAGTGATCCGTTCCCTGACCCCCGTGAATGTCTGTGTTGCGATGTGATGAAATAGTTAAGAAAAAAATCTAAATGATTTGGCAGCAACTTTAAACGAGGTTTGACTCCGTTACAGACCATAGCTGTAGTTTATCCAAGAAGACATGTTCAACTCTGTTCTCAGACTGCAGGCACATAGCCCCGCCACCAGTGACTGTTGTCCCGAGGCAATTTTTACTTGTTCTCCTGACACGACCCTCTCTTTGGACACAGATTGGCTTTGTGCTGTACCCTCCCAGTGGCTCTGAGTGGGACATGAAGGATCACAACAACATGATGTTCATCACCATGTGTTACTCGTGGCACCTCGCCTTCGCCATGCTCATTGTGGGTTTGCTGTACTGCACCGTCAGCTGGTGAGAACCTTCTCCATACCAGACAGCCTATAAGCTGCTGCTGATGTATTTGGAAGTTTGATCGATTCTTCGGCGCCTGTACTGTCACAATCTCAGGTTGTTTGTTGTGCTTTCTCTGTAGTGGGGTTCGCTCCAGATTGAAGAGGACTCCTCCCATGGAAATGGGGCTCCTGAAGCCAAGAGAGAGGGACCCAGAGTCAGAGGATGAGATTTTATGAAGAGGACTGTTGTTCAACTTCACTGTGATTTGTGTCACAGTTGAATCAGGGATATAATGTTTGCAGCAATACAGCTAGAAGCAAGGCATTCAAACAAGAAAGGGACGAGGACATGTGCTTTACTTAAGAAATATATCCTACCTCTGCCTTATTTAATCAACTGTTCTTACTATTATTGTTCATCAATGTTTTTTTAGCCATGGCCTATAGAATACAATATATCTTTATCGTCCATATCTTTATTGTTGGTGGAATTTGTCTTTGAAAAATGTCATGTCAGTTTATGTGGCTAAATGTCATTGGTCACTATTGATACTGTTGGCACTTGGGATGAATGACTTCTTAAATACATTTTTGGTTGCTACAATGACTCTATAGCGCCTCCCGGAGCTCAAACTGGCTGAACAGAGGATGGGAGCTATCTGCTTTACTTTGCATATATTCTGCCATATTCTTTTTTATTATTAGTTTTCACAAGTTTTATCAATTGCATGCTTTTCATTTGACTAGCCAAACGTTTCTTGTCAGAAATGTTGGTGTTCAGTAGTGCCACCTTGTGGTGAAAACAGTGATAACCATCAGTATCAGTACCCATCAGTACAGCATACATTACTTGAAAGTGTTTGTGTTTCATTAAGATAATAAATTGAGTCACATGTGAGTTAAACCCAAAGCCAAACAATAAATTATTTATGTTTAATTTTTGCTGTTTGAGATGAATACAGACTAAATTATTATTGCTGTTGTTGTAAATGTCTTTATTTGTTTATTCAGTGTGGATAAATGTTGAACAGTGTCTTTGTGTATGGACTTTCTGCTTGTCAGTGGAAGCTAACACAGTGTTCTTATCATACAGGTCCTACCATTTGAATAGTTATCATTGAGTTATTTACAGAAATCGTGTTTTTTTTTCTTCCAGTCGTGACACCTCAAAACATAAACCAAATAAACCAAATGATCACCCATGAATCACATAATCATCCCAGCTGAAGGTAGCCATTTTATCGCACTGGCTCCTCCTGCCCATTCCAACAGCACAACACATTCTGCATCACTGGCAGCAGGCGTCTACAAAGATCTTATATGTGGAAGAAGACTTATCGCTGAAAAAAAGGTGGCCCATGCCAGATGGCACTGGAATGGACAGTGATGTATACATTTCTGCAAATGTCAATTGTGAAATAATTTTGTATTGGCACTGCAACTAATCACTGATGTTGTTTAAGCTTCTGGTTATTATCCTGTAACTCCAATGTTTTATCAATAAGATATTATGAAATACACATTTATCATTGCAGAAATGTAAATAACACAAACATATTCAGGTGATTTTCACATGGGAGAGAGAAGACCAGCAAACTGTCACAATTAAAAAGATGAGGAATGTCTTGTATTTCTGCACGAGTCATTTCTTCAATACTAAATTTATAATCAAAATTGTTGCTGGCCGTGTTTTGGGTTTATAGTAGACAATTGAAAAACCAGTTCAGCTCTATTTGCAATACACATTGTTATATAATTTGCTTAATTGTGGGACTATACAGACTTAAACAACTAACAACTTAGACCAACGTCTATATGTTGGTTGAATTGCCTACAGACCCACTTCTGAATTTGTATTAAGTGATAATAGAGATCATAATATCTCATAACACTCCTGTGGAACAAACCCCCTCAACATCAGATCAGTAGAATGTGTGCCTCGGTTTAAAAAGCATTTTCTGTGATTACCACTATCACATTTTATTTTATAGAGCAAAAGTTTTATTAAGTTTTATTATTATTATTATTATTATTATTGGAGAATCAACACAAAAGTAATTATGCAAAATATATAAGAGTAGTCACAACAACAGACTGCATTTTATAGCATTTGCAGCTTTTATTTTTGATTTATGCTTTGATTCGTTGCAGAAAAAAAGAAAAGCGGAAAAAGATCAGAGTGAGACCTCCTGCTGCTGCTCGGCTCAGGTGTGACACACCGGAAGTGGTGCACCTGTCCAGGTGAGCCGCCTCCAGACGAAATTTGACGCTGCTGCTCTTCATCACAGTTCAGAGGGAAACTGCGTATTTTCTCCGTCCCCGCAGGAAATCAAGTTGTTTCTCGGCTCAGCGGATTTAAAGGATCTTCGGGGATGGACAAACTGAAGTCTGTCCTCAGCGGTGAAGAGGCGCGTAGAGATGATCGAACCGTCTTAGAGGTAAAAGTGACCCGCAGCTGTAGCTGACAGTATTTACAATGAGATCTCAGCTGACTCACTGTGACTTGTCCCCGGCTCTGCTCCTGCAGACTGTGAACGAAGCCTCCACTTTGGGCTGGACCACACGGATCAAGGGATTCGTCGCCTGTTTTGTGGTGGGGGGCGCGTGCACGTTGCTGGTAAGGATGTGCATGTGATCGTCTCTGTAGTGCAGCACTGGGGATCGCAGGGTAACTCACGATACATGGCCCATGGTAACGGTAATATCACACTACAGCGATCTGGGATGATCGAGATATTCAAATATAATCATGTAACGATACATTCTGATGTCTGTCAAACTGCAGAAGAATAAAAAGTGGGTTTGATTATTTATTCACTGACATTTTGGGTCAGTTTCACTGAGTTTAACCCAAACTGAGATGAAACAATGTACGATAAAGTGCATCGAGTCTTATCTTAGTGTCTCTTTAGTCCTTAACAAACACACTGTAACTTGATGTCCACACGTGCCATCATTCCACTGCAATAACCACTCGTCCACATATATGTATATATATATGTATATTTGTATTAACATAACTAAACAACTAAAAATCAATGTTTGAAATCATATCTCATGAGTTACGATGACCATATATGCGGTATGTATTTAGTCCTACCACTAATCTGTCGTGATCTACTCCGGGTGTGTTATTCTGCTCCGTGCAACAAGGAAGGGCTCAGGTGGAGGTGACATTACTGGTTCTTCTTGCTCTGAAGAATGTTGAGGCAGTGCCGTTCATTCTTTGAACGTCTTGAACCTGTCGCTCAGGCTGCTGCAGCTGACAGATGGAAACATGCTGTTAGATTCACCATGTGTGACCCACAGGCTTCTCTGTCCTGTCTGTGTTGCAGGGAGTGTGTTTGCTCTTCCTCCCCAGGATTGGACTCACACTCTTCATCGTCTTTTACACTTTTGGAAACATATGTGCTTTGGGCAGGTCAGTGTGCACAATGATACCCTGCAAGGACTCAGATTATCAATGTCAGCAGTATATTCACTTTTACTATAAACTGTAGGGCTGGGCAATAAAACAAGACCAATAACAGGGTGCAATATATTTTTCAATACAACTAAGGTTCAATACAACTAAGGTTCAATACAGATCTATCTCAATAAAGTGCTTATGCATTGTGTAAGCACAGTGAGGAGGTACATCACTTATCTAACTCAGATTTTTCCAAATATTTAGCTCTTTATCAGTGTTTGTCGTTCTCTGCTGATAAGGACGAGTATAAAACTGTAATCTTCATTCAGGAGCAAAAATCTGTCTTCAAACTTAAAGGCAAGGCAGTTTAAAAACATCAGACAGCATTTAAAAAACAGTTTAGA